TTATTCACCTTTAGAGGAGGAGTACGAGGAACACTTGAGAGTGGTGCTTGAGTTACTTAGAGCCCATAGGATGTATGCCAAGTTTGGGAAGTGTGAGTTCTGGTTGGGGGGAAGTCAAGTTCTTAGGCCATGTGGTTTCTGGGAAAGGGGTGTCTGTTGATACATCTAAGATTGAGGCAGTGCAAGATTGGGCACAGCCTAAGAGTGTGTTTGAGATACGCAATTTTCTGGGATTAGCTGAGTATTACCGCCGGTTTGTAAAGGATTTCTTCAGGCTAGCTTCGCCATTGACTAGATTGACTCGGAAGGGAGTCAAATTTGTGTAGAGTGAGACTTGTGAAAAGTCGTTGCAAGAGCTAAAGTTAGATTGACCACCGCTCCGGTCTTGATTATTCCGGAAAGAGGGTTGGGTTATGTGGTTTATTGTGATGCCTCACGAGAGGGTTTGGGTTGTGTGTTAATGCAGGAGGGGAAAGTGGTGGCCTATAGCTCACGTCAGTTGAAAATACACAAGAAGAATTACCCTACATATGACCTAGAGTTAGCAACAATGATATTTGCCTTGAAGATTTGGAGGCACTACCTTTATGGTGAGAGGTTCGAGGTGTTCTCGGACCATAAGAGTTTGAAGTACCTGTTTACATAGAGGGACTTGAATTTGAGACAGAGAAGGTGGATGGAGTTCATTGAGGACTGCGACTTTGAGTTGCACTATCACTCGGGAAAGGCCAATGTAGTGGTCGATGGCCTTAGCAAGAAATCCATTAGTGATGTAGCTTGTATAGCCATCCGGGAATGGGAGATGTTGGGTGCACTTGGCGAGTTTGATTTGCTTTTGGGCGAATCCGTTGAGGCTGCGGCCTTGTTTTCTATTGTTACGCAGCCTACACTTGTGACTCGAGTATTAGAGGCACAAAGAGATGACCTTGAGGTAGAGTCCTTCCGAGAGAAGATCTCCAGTGGAAAAGTTGAAAAGAGTTTGACGGTGTATCCCGACTAGAGTGTGAGATACCGAGACCGTTTGCTTGTACCAGAATCTTGCCGAGAGGAAGTACTCCGAGAGTTTTGCCATTCACGCCTTGCGGTGCATCCGGGAGGCACTAAGATGTATCGGGATTTGGGTCGCCAGTTTTGGTGGCGGGGTATGAAGAAGGATGTGGCGGTTTTTGTGTCTAAGTGTCTTACTTGTCAGCAAGTGAAGGCCGAGCATCAGAGGCCAGCGGGTTTGTTACAACCCTTGCCTATTGCCGAGTGGAAGTGAGAGCATGTCACTATGGACTTCGTTGTAGGTCTTCCGAGGACTCAGCGGGGTAGTGATGCTATTTAGGTGGTTGTAGACCGATTGACTAAGTCGGCGCACTTTATCCCTATGCGCGTGAGAGATTCGGTACATCATCTTGCTGACTTGTATATTCGGGACATAGTGAGGTTGCACGGGGTCCCAGTGACGATCGCCTCAGATAGAGACCCTCGTTTTACTGCTAGTTTGTGGCAGAGTTTGCAGAGTGCCTTGGGCACTAAGTTGACCTTTAGTACAGCCTATCATCCTCAGACTGACGGGCAGTCCGAGCGTACCATTCAGATCCTTGAGGATATGCATCAAGGTTGTGTCCTGGACTTTAGTGGGATGTGGGAAAGGCACTTACCCTTAGTGGAGTTTGCCTACAACAACAGTTTTCAGTCAAGTATCGGTATGGCACCGTTTGAGACCTTGTATGGCCGACCTTATAGGTCTCCAGTTTGTTGGGCCGAGGTAGGTGATGCACCTGTGTTGGGCCCAGAGTTGGTGAGAGAAACAACGGAGAAAGTCGAGCTTATCCGTAGGAGGCTTGTTACAGCCCAGAGTCGTCAAAAGAGTTATGCCGACCGTAGGAGGAGGCCTTTAGCTTTTGAGACGGGTGATCATGTTTTTCTGAAAATATCACCTAGGCGAGGTTTGATGAGGTTTGGGAAGAGTGGGAAGTTATCCCCTCAGTTTATCGGTCCCTTTGAGATCCTCGAGAGGATTGGAGAGGTTGCTTATCGTTTGGCTTTGCCGCCGCAGTTGTCCGGAGTGCATGACGTGTTTCATATGAGTATGCTTCGGAAGTATGAGCCGGATCCATCACATGTATTGGATCGGACTGACTTAAAAGTAGATGAGGATGCCTCATATGAGGAGAGACTGGTTCGGGTCTTGGATAGGCGGGATCAAGCCTTGCGAGGCAAGACCATTCCCTTGGTAAAGGTTTTGTGGAAACATCACGGAGTGGAGGAAGCCACTTGGGAACGTGAGTTGGAGGTCCGAGAGAAATATCCGGATCTATTTGTGGATGTTTGAGTATATGTTGTATATTTTGTTGTATTGTTGAACCTTAAGAGTATTGCAAATATCTTAGGTTGTAAAACATTGTGTATGTTTTGGTTTAATGGAAGTATTTTGGAACTTGCCTTGAAATGGAAGTTTGATATAACTTTGCATATGTTGAATGTGTTATAGAAATGAAAATTATATCATGAATATTGAATATGATGTGGAAATGGGAATCATGTACATTTTAAATTGTTGAAATGTATATGTTGTGAAATGCCCCTTGACAAGAGATGGAATGACCGGGAAGGGTCGAGTTATTTAATGTTGAATGTAACATTGTTTAAATGGAGAAAAACTTGTTCTTTTGAAAACTTGCATTTAATTTCGGGGACAAAATTCTTTAAGGGGGGAAGGTTATAGCGATTCCGGGTTTTACCCCTTGTTGTACAGTGATCCGGACTTGGTTCCGTGGATGTTAGCAGTTGTTTATATCTTTTTTACATCCTTTCGTACTTTGTATTTGAGTTATAGGATGTGTTGGGCGTGTTCTGAATAGGTAGGTTGAGTTTTGGTCTCTAGTGTAGTTGCCCAGGTTTTTGGTGTTACGCTCGAGTGGATCATTCAGCGCTCGAGCGGAGTTTGGTTTTTGGTTGTCTGCTCAAGCGGGCCTTCTAGCGCTCGAGCGGAATTTACACACTCCCAATATCTCGTGTCCCTGCAAAAATTCTGCAGGTGTGTTTTTCACGCTCCAGCGGGTTTCCTACGCTCGAGCGGGTATGTTGGCGCTCGAGCGGGTAGTGTTTTGCCTGTGAAAGTTCTGGGAGAGGGAAATCTACGCTCGAGCGGACTGGTTTTTGCGCTCGAGCGGATGTATTTTATTCTTGTGTCTTGGAGCTCGAGCGGGCCTTCTTGCGCTCGAGCGTGTCCAGATTTTTGTGCTTGACGCTCGAGCGTTCTATTCTCCGCTCGAGCGGAAGTGTCGTATATCAGTGGGCAGCTGGGCATTTTTGAATCACTTTTTACATTCACTCTCTCTCTTTTACTTTCTAAAAACACTTTTCAGAGCCTCTCTCTCTAGGATTTCCCTTCTCTCTAGGGTTTGATCTAGTTAGAGTGTTCTCCTATCCTTCGGCCTTTGTAAAAAGCGTGTTGATCATCGAGGGCTTCATTTTGATCCGAAAAGTTTGGAGTTTGGAACACTTTGGTTTTGGTCTTCTTCCCCATTTGAGCTCTAACTTCGAGGTAGGGATATCCTACTCCTCCTTATGAGCTTTCTCTTTAAATTTTAACATTGTGATATGTTGGGGATTGTTGGGTAATTTTGAGAAAGTTTGGGCGTTTGTGTAATTTTACAAAAGATGAGGTTTTATTTATATAAGCTTATATGCATGTTTAGCATGGAGAAACGAGATAAATGTTGAGTTATTGATAGAAATGAAACCTTAAGGTTGTTTTGTTAATTATGGAAAATGCCCTAATTATATTGATGAATTAATTTGTGAAATTAATTTTGAGAAATGAGAAGTTGAATTGAAAATGTTGAAATTGGGAACATATGGGATTAAAGGGTGTAGTTGGATCATTTATCACTCACCTAGTTGAAATGTTGATATTTTATCCATTTGGTGCATTTATTTTCTGTTTAGAAATAACTGCTTTGGGCTATCGGTGGAGGATAGTTTTGATTGTTGTAGACAATGCATGATGATTAGGTAAACTAAAACTAATCGATTGGGTATGCTATCGAGTATAGTGGTTGGAATAATACATTAACTTTATGTATTGATTGATTGTGTATATGATTTATGTTTATATACATTGTGTGTGGGAGGAGATAGGGGATGTACTCCACAGTTTAGGAGAAGATAGGGGATGGACCTCTAAACCGGATTTCGTGTGACATTGATACAACACTACAATGTGTATCAAGTGTGGATTATGGAAGTGTTTGAATTGATTTGATATAACACTAAAATGTATATCGTTATTAATTGTGAAGTATAGAAGCGTTTCTATGTGTTATTGATACAGCACCAAAATGTGTATCCATCATGAATTTCGAAAGTGTTTTAAAGATGAGTCTAAATCTCATTAAGTTATTTGATTAGGTTCTAAGCCTTGTTTTCAAACTCAAAGTTGAATAAGAAATGGAAACTGAAGTGTGCCATGGGCATGATTGTCGTGAAACTGTAATACGACATACGTTGGAATACAAGGGTGGACCATCTATTGAATGTTATTATTTTAGTCATTGTTTATAGTTGGTTTAGTATATTTCTACTGGGCTGTGGGTCACCCTTTATGGGACATCATTTTCAGGTATAGGTAGCATGCCACCTCCAAGGACATAGCTTGGGAGGCTAGAGACAGACAGACTGTTTCTGTTGTTTTGTTTTCTTTTGATGTATTACATGCATATCAAGCCAAGGGCTTTCTTTGTATAGAGTTTGTACTATTTTTTTTGTAACCAAGTGTTGACTTGGAAAGTTGTAAGCCCATAGGGCATTTACTTTCGTTGTCAACATGTAATACATTTTGTAATGATTGCTCTGAGGGAAAATACTTATGCTTTATTTTCTTGTGTCTAAGCATGCTATTGTTGGATGATTTATGGTTTTTTTTTTTCTTGAGGGCGTTACATGCATTGAGCAATGTTCCACAAAATCTCAAGTTGACATCTCCTGATATTCAAAAAGACATTGTAAATATGGCCGCATTTGAAACTATCAATGCGATTATTAGAGATCTTGATGATGCACTTTTTTCTATTTTGATTGATGAAGCCCGTAACATATCAATCAATAAGCAAATGACAGTTGCAATACGATATGTTGACAAAAAAGGCCAAGTGATTAAGCTCTTTTTGGGTATTGAGCATGTTGCTAATACGAATGCTCTCTCGTTTAAACAAGCTATGGAAAATTTATTCTCCAAACTTGGATTGAGTATTAGGGTCAAGGATATGATGAGGCTAGTAATATGCAAGGTGAGTTCAATGGTCTTAAAACACTTATACTGAAAGAGAATCCTTGTGCATATTATGTTCATTGTTTTGCTCATCAATTGCAATTGGCACTTGTAGCTGTGGTAAATAATCATAATCAAATTGCTTTACTTTTCACTTTGGTTTCTAATGTGGTGAATATTGTTGGAGAATCATGTAAACGCCGAGATATTGTTAGGGAGATGCAAGCTGCAAAAGTTGCTGAGGCACTTAATACTGGAGAGCTATCTAGTGGGAAAGGCTTAAATCAAGAAACTAATCTTAAACATGCTGGTGATACACGTTGGGGTTCACACTATGGTACTTTAGTTAGCTTGGCTAGTATGTTTTCAACAGTGATTGATGTGCTTGAATTGATTTCGGAGGATGGTTCAAATTCAGAACAACGAGCAGAAGCAAATATTTTGTTGGACTCAATTCAATCATTTAAGTTTGTATTGAACCTTCGTTTGTTGAAAACAATATTGGCTATTACAAGTGAGTTATCGCAAGCACTACAAAGGAAAGATCAAGATATTGTTAATGCCATGAATTTAGTTCAAATTTCTAAAGAACAACTCCAAAAGATGAGGGAGAGTGGGTGGACATCTTTACTTGATGATATTTTGTTTTTTTGTGAAAAACATGAAATTGATGTTCCCCAAATGGAAGATATGTTTGTAGCTCGAGGGAGAAAAAGGCGCAATGCTCAAGAAATTACAAACTTACATTACTATCGCGCTGAGTTATTCTACACTATTTTGGATATGCAAATTCCAGAACTAAATGCTCGTTTCACTGAGTCGAACACTGAGTTGTTACTTTGTGTGGCATGTTTAAATCCATCTAACTCTTTCTCTAGTTTTGATAGGAAAAAGATAATTCATCTTGCTGAATTTTATCCCAAAGAATTTTCTTCAGTGGAGCTCATGGTACTTAATGATCAACTTGATATATATATTATCGATATGCTATCCAGTAGTGAGTTCTCAATGTTGAATGGAATTACCGATCTTGCTAAAAAAATGGTAAAGACTGGAAGAGACAAAGTATATCCATTGGTGTATTTGCTCTTGACTTTAGCATTAATCTTACCTGTTGCAACTGCTACTGTTGAAAGGGTATTTTCATCTATGAATATTGTGAAGAATCTGTTGCAGAACCGAATAGGTGATGAATGGATGAATGGTAGCTTGATTGTCTACATTGAGAGAGATATTTTTGTTGGCCAATGATACTATTATGGAAAGATTTCAAAAGATGAAAACTCGTCGGGGTCAATTATAAAAGTTTAAAATTTAAAACTTTTTGTAATGGATATTAATTTTTAATGTTTAGCATTAGTTCGAAAAATTATTATTATGTTATTGTTATCGATTGGGGAAGAAAAAATTTAAGATTGTAATTAATGGGTGCCCCCTATATTAAATTCCTGACTCTTTTTTGAAAGTTTATTTTAGATTGATTTGTTATATAAATAAAATCATAAATGAATAAAAAGAAACTCGTCAAATTTTTTAATTTGTTTTGAACTCAGCTTAAGTTTTTATGTGTACCATGGAAAATTTAGCTACCTCTTTTAGAAAGCTTGAGGTTTGATTCTCCTCCAATTTGTCTGGTTTATATAGCATCTTAGTAATACTAATAAAAATATTCAGTTATTTTTTCAATGTAAACTCTAATAATTTTTTTTATTATAGTCATTTAAAAAAAAATATTCATTTAATGTTTTTTTTTATGAGAGACATTGAGATATGAAAAGAAATGGTAAATGGTTTTAAAATAAAAATCAAATAACTCGAGAATAGTGTCTGAACAAAAATAAATAGTTATTGTACACAAAATCATTTTAGCTACTTTTTTTTCATTATTTTGTTGAAGTAATTTTTCTTGAGTTTGGCTAATTAAATTAATAATAATATTACAAAATCAATTTTTTTTACTCAGAATTATTAATTAACAGCCTAGATTTATTCTATACACTACACAACACTAATTTAATCTTCACCTTATAATTACAATTTATATAAAATTATGATATATCTTTTTTGGGCATTTAATTAGACTTTCTGATGGTTTAGCTAGCTTGGAGCGGCCTTTAAACCTCGAGTCGTCAAAAAGAATAAAAAAATACTAAACTAGTAGTAAATCAGTTAAAGCTTATTTAAATATATTTCAAATGATTATAGTTTATAAACTACATCTTATGATAAGATTGCGTTTATTTGCTGCTACTCTTCTCAATTTGAAACTTGTTAATTAGAAATCAAAAAGTAAAGGATAAATTATAAATATACTTTCTTAGATCTGTTTACAATATAAATAGCTTTATGTGTTTTTAAAAATTATAAATATCACTGTTGGAATCATGATTTTATAGGTTTATTATGGGCCAATTTTAAGTTTAAATTTGAGTGGGTCCCAAACGTTTTTTGGAGTGAGTCCAAAGAGATGACGTGTTCCTTGTCGCATGGCAAGTCACGCGGTGAAGAAGGTGCGTCAAAACCATTTATGAGTGAATGAGAAGTTGATATCATTTTCGGGTTCATGAAATGGACAGTTAAAGAATAAAATGTGGGTTTCCTTATAAGGTTTGTTCCACATTGAAAAGTAGTGCCGTTTGGTAACACTTACGTTTTCAGTTTTTTATTTATATTTACAAAAATTTTAAAAATTCAAATAAAAACTTGTTTGGTAAAATTTTTAATTTATAAATCAGTGGTCTCAGTTTATAAATTTGGCCAAAAAATAAAAACACAAAAAATGTGTTTCCGTTTTGAGTTTTGAGTTTTTTTTTTTTTTTTACCACCCAACACTAGCCACCACCCGCCACCATTTTCCACCACCGTCTTTCGCCACCACCACCCACCCCCCATCACCACCTGTCACCACCACTCACCACCCACTTGCCACCACCACACACTACCCACCACCACCACCCACCTGCACCCACTCGCTACCACCCACCACTCGCCATCGTCACCCATCCATCCGCCATCCACCTGCCACCATCACCACCACTACCCACTCGCTACCACCCACCACTCGCCATCGTCACCCATCCATCCGCCATCCACCTGCCACCATCACCACCACTACCCACTCGCTACCACCCACCACTCGCCATCGTCACCCATCCATCCGCCATCCACCTGCCACCATCACCACCACTACCCACTCGCTACCACCCACCACTCGCCATCGTCACCCATCCATCCGCCATCCACCTGCCACCATCACCACCACTACCCACTCGCTACCACCCACCACTCGCCATCGTCACCCATCCATCCGCCATCCACCTGCCACCATCACCACCACTACCCACTCGCTACCACCCACCACTCGCCATCGTCACCCATCCATCCGCCATCCACCTGCCACCATCACCACCACTACCCACTCGCTACCACCCACCACTCGCCATCGTCACCCATCCATCCGCCATCCACCTGCCACCATCACCACCACTACCCACTCGCTACCACCCACCACTCGCCATCGTCACCCATCCATCCGCCATCCACCTGCCACCATCACCACCACTACCCACTCGCTACCACCCACCACTCGCTATCGTCACCCACCCATCCGCCACCACCTACCACCACCAACTACCCACCACCCATCGTTACCACTTTCCACCGCCGTCTTCCGCCGCCACTTGTCATTTCTCACTCTTTTTTATATTTTTAAATTTTTTAAAAATTTTGTCAATTACCAAACGTGTTTGTAGTTTATGTTTTTCAAAAAATAAACAAAATCAGTTTATAAAATTTTTGTAAATATAAACTGAAAACGTAAACGTTACCAAACATACCAGCATATGTGTATATATAAGTTTTAAGTGGCAACACTTGGGTTGTACCCTAAGGGGCATCCCAAGTTTGTAGAAGGAAGGAGTTATGGACAAAGTGAACCTTGGCTCAAACTACCACACACGCGTGCCGTCGTGGTCGGCCGAGCCGTGCCAGGCACGGGTGTGGGTTGTGGATCGGGTCGGTTCTAATATTAATTTTTTAGACAAAATTTATTTAAATTGTTTTCAAAAATTCTTGTGGGAAAATTATTTTTTCTGAACCAAATTAATTCAAATTTTGTGTCAAATTTGAATTCAATTTTTCCTGTCCATACAGTGCCGTTTCGATATAATTCTAGCATGTTCAAACTGTTGTTTAACAATTATAAAACTGCCCAGCAATTATAAAACAGCCAGCAGATCTGTTCAAATTTCAAATTGTATCTGTTCAGGTTTTTACACCTGTTCAGTTCAAGATCATACATGTTCGGTTAGATTTGAAAGTCACCAGTTTACCTATAAATAGTGGTCATTTCTAGTAGATTTTCACATCTAGAAAAATTCTTCTCTTCCTGGTTTTTCTCTTTGTGTGCATTGTTCTTCATATTAGTTCTTAGGAAAAAATTTAGAGAGTAAAAAACATAGGTTTTGTTCACTGTATAAATTGTTTAGAGTGCTACTACAATCTATGTAGATCATTGTATCCTGAGAGATAGACGCCTTTTATCCATAAGTATTGAAGCGTGACGAATCTGTCTTAAGGATAGAGTGTCATACACTCGACTTGATCTATTTTTTGTACTTATTCATTTCGGTAAAATAAATTCTATAAGTAATTTATTTTTATTTGTTTGATTTGTTTCAAGTTATTTATTTTACACAGAAGATTGTTCCAAGAATCTTAAGACATATTCGAATTATTCTGCTAAAACAGAATTTTTTGTTTGTTTCCTTTTCTTCTTCTTATAGAAATTAATATTCTGTGCGTTTACAAAATAATATTCTGGTTGGAAAAATGAATAGTAGTAATATACTATTTGAAAAATAGTAGTAATATACTGTTTATTTTCTTTGACAACTAGTAGTAATATACTGGTAGTCATTAACAATTCAGAATATTTATTTATGAAGTTGATCAGAAATTAATTTTGATTTTCAGAAATAATTTCTGAGTTTTCATTAATCAAAATTCTGTTTCAGTATTTTAATTTTTGAAGTGTTACAGAAATTTAATTTTCTGTGTGGAATTAATTTGTTTAAATAAAACAAAATTTTATTTTATTTTCATATTAATTGGAAATAAAAGTTACAATTCTTGTTTCTTTTATTTTTACAGAATTTAATTATGTGATTTTGGTTTAATTTTGTGTAGTATAAAATTCTAATTATAATTTTGTTTTATAATTTAAAATCCATAGTTACTGAAATTAATGCTCAAACTAGTACTAGTATGGTGGCTGCAATTGCTCCAACCCCCTCTTCTACTCTGACTATGCCAGTCAATCACGGTGAAAAGCCAAAGAACTTCTTAGGAACTGATTTTAAAAGATGGTAGCAGAAAATGCTGTTATATCTTACTACTCTGAACCTGACTCGTTTTCTCCGTAAAAATGCTCATACACTGAAAGAGGATGAAACTAACCGGCAAGTGGTTGCTGCGGTCAATGCTTGGAAACATGCTGATTTTCTTTGCTGCAACTACATCTTGAACGGACTTGACAATACATTATACAACGTCTACAGTCCTATCAAGATGGCAAATGAACTTTGGGAGTTTTTGGAGAAAAAGTACAAAACAGAAGATACTGGCCCAAAGAAATTTGTGTTTGGCAAATTCCTAGATTTTGTGATGGTTGATTCTAAGACTGTGATCAGCTAAGTTCAAGATCTCCAACTTATTTTGCATGACATTTACGCAGAAGACATGTCTCTCAGTAAATCCTTCCAAGTTACTACTTTAATTGAAAAATTACCACAAAACTGGAAGGAATTCAAGAACTGTCTCAAACATAAGCACAAAAAAATGACATTAGAGGAATTAATTATGTGTTTGAGGATTAAGGAGGACAACCGCAATTCTGAGAAACAGGTTGGTAAGCATCTAATGGAGTCTAAGGCAAATGTGGTGGAACATGCTCCAAAAGCAAAAAATTGAAGTATTCTAAAGAAAGTTCTGCACAAGGTTCTAAAGGAAGGGAAACTGAGAAGTACAAGTTTAATGGCTAATGTTACATCTGTGACAAAGAGAGGCATCGGGCCAAAGATTGCCGTAGCAAGCGCAAAGGTAAAGGAAGATCAAGCAAGAAGCCTGCTCAAGCCAATATGACCGAAGTTGACAAAATTTTCAATGGTGTAGATGACATAAATCTTTCTACAATTGTTTCTGAGACAAACCTTGTCGGAAATCTTAAAGAATGATAGGTGGACACTGGTGCT